TATTTTAATATATTTAATAAATAATATAATATAATTATAATTCTTTTATATTATTTATTAATATAATAATATTATAATTTTATTTAATTTTTTTATTTTTATTATTATATATATATATTTATATATATGAAATATATAAAATATTATTTTAATTATATTTCATATATAATAATTTATATAAAGTATATCTATATATAATAATTTATTTTAATTACATTTTATATAATAATTATATAGAATTTATTTCTTATTAATTATAATTTATTAACAATAATTAAAATAATTATAATTAATAAATTATATACTAATAAATATATTTTATTTCATAAATTTATTTTTATTACAACAATTTTATAAATATAATCAAAACATAATATGATCATATCAGTGCATAACAAAACAGTAATTACTTGCAAAATGAATTGTTTATAATACTCTGAAATAAAATACAAATATTCTATAGATATGTAAGATTAATTAATTATAAAATAAAAGTTAAGAAAATATTAGAATAAATTTTATAAACATAATAATGTGATAAATATGAATATTATTACTTTGAATTTATAGGGCAATCAAATTTCACAATTGTTGAATACAGGATCCAGTCAATACCAATCAAGTCAGTATGAAAGTGCAGTTGGTAGCCTGTTAGACCCTTCAGGGGGTCCTACAGGTTATACAAACCTATTCGATGCCCTTTCTTCGATATCTCGTTACGATGATCTCAAATGTGTTCCTAGAATACTTTGCGAGGTGACAAGTGGTGCTATACCAGGTGAATCAATTTACGGACGTGACATCAACTTGTTTAATAATCTTTTTCAAAAAAATATATTATCAAAGTTAGTAAGAAATATTTGTTTATAATAATTAATATAAATATATTCAATATTATTATTAATTTATTTCATTTGTTATAGATTATTGACGAAGTTTCATTTTATCGAATCATCACCAATATTTAATTTTGGTAAAGCTGCATTATTAGGATACACCAATAGAAATAATCCTAATCATTGTTATCAAGAGTATCCTAAATGTCCTAGGAATAATGATCAATTGATTCATTATCTTAATAATCATAATGGTGGATTTTTTAGATATTTTAATCAATTCAATCGTGGAAATATTTATAACAAACCATATGTCGCACAAAGTAAGTATTTGTACACTGTAATCGTAAAAATAATTTATTATATATAATTAATTATATATAATATTTATTATATATTTTAATAAATAATTATTATGTTTATTAGATATTTTAATAAATTTAATTAAGGAGATAATATTTATAACAAACACTATTTCGCTCAAATTAACTATTGTGCTTTGTAATCGTAAAAATAATTTAATATATAATTAATTATATATAATATTTATTATATTTTTTAATAAATAATTATTATATTAATTATATATAATATTTATTATATAAATTGTGATAAATAATTATTATATTAATTATATATAATATTTATTATATATTTTAGTAAATTAAGTTATGGTAATAATATTTATAACAAACCTTA